GACTTTTTACGCAGATATTCTTACCGAAGGCAAATGACATGGACAAATTGAGAGCAGTTCAAATTTGAAAGAAAAATAAAAATAAAATGCCTCACACACACACACACACACACACACACACACACACACACACACACACACACAGAGGCACACACACGCACACACATTTTATTTGTTTGAGAACGTATTTTCTTCAGGTGAGGGAGGGCACATGGCACTAAATCCTCCCCCCTTCCCCCTTTCTTCCTTTTCTTTGACCCCCACTTTTGGGGGGTGCACCTCACGGATACATCCGCACAGATCTGCATGCTCAATGCACCCCATGTGTGGTTCATGAGCTCAGGAGGTGCGCCTCAGGTAGGATATGAACTCGTTGTCATTAGAAAGACAGTTTTAGAAAAGATAAAACCGGAAGATCAAAAACTGCAAAAAAAGAAACGAAATAGTTCTTCAAGAAGTGTCACAAAGCAATATACCTGATACCATGGCTGCAGTCTGTGTTTTAGTAAAAGAAAACAGGCTTAAGAAAGATTATCGGAAAACCTGTCAAGATGCAAACATACCTGATTTGACACCATGGCCACCCTCTGTGCAAAACGACAAGTGGAGATGGTTTCTTCTAACTGGTCCAGCGATGCATTCACATTTGCAATCATCACCTGAACATGCAGAAAGCAAGCAGATGATGTCTCTGTCTCAGATGCTATAATCCTGTCTATTTCATGAAGCAGCACTCAAATCGACGACAATGTCATTGAGCACAAGTCAAGGACAAAAACAATGAAATCAAGAGGAGGAGGAGGAGGAGGAGGAGGAGGAGGAAGAGGAGGAGGAGACGAAGAAGAAGAAGAAGAAGAAGAAGAAGAAGAAGAAGAAGAAGAAGAAGAAGGAGGAGGAGGAGGAGGAGGAGGAGGACGAGGAAGAGGAGAAGACCACCAAGAAGATGACGACGACGAAGAAGAAGAAGAACCAAGACCAAGAGGAGGAACCAAGACCAAGAGGAAGACCAAGACGGAGGAGGAGGAGGAGGAGGAGGAGGAGGAGGAGGAGGAGGAGAAGAAGAAGAAGAAGAAGAAGAAGAAGAAGAAGAAGAAGAAGAAGAAGAAGAAGAAGAAGAAGAAGAGAAGAAGAAGAAGAAGAAGAAGAAGAAGCTTAAGCAAATGCCATCTCCCTTACTCTCTCCCCATCATCATCTCTCTCACATAATCGCTGCCGTTTCTTTATTAAAACTGAAATACAATAGTAATGAATGAATTAACAAGAATCAATGTCCGAATGATTCCCCTTACTGCCAGTGTAGCAAGAGCTTTCGTCTGGACTCCTTTCCCTCCCTCTCTACTCCACTCGTTATGGCTACTAGCTATGGCGGCTCATCTAGTCCCTATCACAGATTTCCATAGAACAAGGCAGCCACTGGCATACCTCTCCCCTCATCTACCAACACAGACAACCTCTGGATGAGGTACATGATCAACCATACCTCAGCAAGGGCCTCCTTGATGCGATGGCAAACAGGAGGATGAAGATGGAGGTCCACCATAGCCAATAGCCATGGAAGTCTTCTTCCTTGCTCTTCGCGTAGATCAGCAGCATGACTGCAAGGTGAAAATGAGCAGACTATTAATTCGTTCCACCACATCACCACATGCACAAGAGAAAACTGTCGTGATGTATCTTTCCATGTTCTAGGAGAAGATTCATTTCGTTTTGCATATTTGGTGACAGGTGGAGCGAGGCCCATACTCTTGCTGGCTGGCATCTAGTGCCTCTTGGCTGGGACTGGTTCATTCACCCCACGTCACCCCCTCTTCGGCAGGAAAATCATTGCAGATTGATAACCATCTGCAGGACCGGAACCTGCCCCTTAAGCCTATCTAGGTTCCGTCCTCAGCCATCATGACCTACCAAACCGCTACCAGCCCCTTCTAGGGCTTCCCAACTTGCTGAAACATCCCTGTCGGAACCCTTGGTATCAAACCAAGTTCCAATGCCTGAGACACACAACGGACGATATAGGACTAGAAGGAATGAGAGAGATAAGAGTTGTCTCGGGACCAGTCCCACTGGCCCCAGCAAATGGCAGAACTGTGCACTGAAAAAGTGCGCGAGCGTCGCGGACAGTCACCCGGGCACTGCGCAAAACAGAGGTAAAGATGTAAAAGAGAGGGACGCGCGAGTGTTGAAGTGCGGGAAAGATATGTGGTGAGACGACGAGGGCAGTGCAAGGAAAGAACACACCGACAACACTTTGCAACAAGCGTATTGTAGTCGGGCTAACAAAAAGGGCCCTCAAAGAATAAAATGGACCTTCGGGACGCGTCCTGCATGGTCCCGGTCCCAAAGGCGGCAGACGGCACCGGCAGGGGCACCGAATGTCAGGACAGGAGACAACAATGTCTCGGCAAGATTCCAAGAAAAATGGAGCCTTCAGGACAAAAGAAATCAAATTAACACCATGCGTCGGTCACATGGCGCAAGGAGAACACAATAAAATAAAAGTAACTACAAAAACAGGTGTTGCAGCTGCCACAAAAAAATATAGTTACGTGTCAGCCACGCGACACATGAAGAAGCTGTAAGGAGGACCAATGACGCTGTCAAAGATGGGCGTCAACGACGCCAAGCAATTTAGTTGAGAGAGAGAGGACCAAGAAAAGTGATGCCCCTTTCCCGTGAGTAAGGGGCCCACTAGACGAGACCAGACTAAGTAGTACGTGCCGACTATTTGGGACTTGAAGGTACCAAATAGTCGATTCCTTTATTGCACCTAGGGGTCCTACACGTTCAAAGTGGAGCGTTCAAGGAGCAATGGGACTAGAAAGGAGGGATTAGAGGGCTTAATGGGAATGGCGGACTACAAGGGACTATGACTACTAGTGTCCACGACTCCACGTACATTGTACCTATAAAGTAGGGTCCCTTTGGAGTCCGAGCTACAGTGGGGTAGAATAGGGTTAGAAAAAGTCTTAGTTTTGGTACATCCAGACCATGAAACTGAACCGGATGCACCTTAGCGTGCAACGGACCACAAAAACCCAGTTCTCGAGTGTTCAGATACGAAGTATCTAAAAAAATGTGGTCCTACGGTGTTCCGAATTAGAACGGACACCTAGGCCTAAAAGCTAATGGCCTAGAGAGAGAATGGGGAGGTGGGAGAGTGAGGACAGGAAAAAAGGACAAGCCGCCACATCGTGGTTAACTTGTCCTCTGTCAGGAGGGGCTTAGGTGCAATGTATGGACTTGAATCAAGTCTAGGTTCAAAAGGAACAAAAACTGTCAGAAACAGACACGTGGAGGAAAGAGAAAACATATGTTTTTGATACATCTGGAGTCCAGATTCATTCCGGGATGAATCAGACACGAAGGTTTGGATTTGGGAAGGTTCAGATACAATGCATCTGAATCTAGAGCCTCCAAAAGCAATCAGATGGCACCAGCTAGCGTAAAAAATGGGACCTTTCGGAGGAAGAAAAGGGAGAAGTAATAAGATAGGGCCCAAAGGGTGGTCCAAATTATTCTTGAACCACCAAAGTGAAAAAATTCTAAGATCAGATAAGTCCTAGGGGAGAAATAATCAACCTAGGGCAATCCCAAGTAAGGGGGCTACTGAAATCAAATAAAAGGAGAAGATTGAAGGTCTCCTAGAGTATGGGGGTGTCATTGTAGTTCGAGATATTTCACACTGCAACAATGGTATTGATCTAGATCTATACTAGATTTAGGATCTAGAAAACGATGCCATGACAAATTGCCACTTGTGCGAACAAAAATAAAGGAAAAAGAAAAGAAAAAGGGAGAAATGGGAGGAGGGAAGAAACAAAAAACGGAGGGAAAAAAGGAAGTGAGTTGTCCGCTCGGTAGGGACTGCCAAAGTTGAGACTGGCAGGTCCCTACTGCTGTTCGATCTTCCGGATTTAGTGGAGGAGGATCCAGATTGAAGTGATAAGGCTCTAGGAGCATTATCTCTATATTTTCTGAATTGACAAGGAAAAATTAAAGAAAAGGCAAAAACTTCATGGCTGGTTTTCATTGTGGCCATTGATCTGATCAATGGACAAGATAAAAAAGGAATCTATTTTTATGCCAACTCAAATGGACAAATCGAGAATGAGTCGATATCCCAAAATGGAAAGAAACAAAAGAAGGAAAAAAATGGAACAGTGCATTCGGCAAAAAACTGAAGCCAAATGCATGTTAAGTGAGTGTTAGAGCCCTAAGGGTTCTAACATGAACCTACACCCATGGATTGTGACCAAAACTAGGGCCTAGGATGAACCAAGGTGCAAATTGTACCTCGCCCCACTCAAGACTTGAAAAAAAATTGGGAGAGGCCCAAAAAGCCTCCCATTTTCGGTCAGATCTAAGGTACAACATTGAAACTCTGAATTAAAGCACTTTTAGCATGAACATGCAGTCCGAATTGCGAGACACATCTCAAACTGCATGAACCTGGTCCGGATGTAGCCTAGATGAAGCCCAGGAGCAAGGGGAGGGCCTAGTGACACTTTGGATCTCCCATAATCACTATGGGAGGTCCAAACGTTGCCGGGGGGGTTCGCATACAACTATAAAACAAGAGGCGCCTCATTCATACTTGGTGCATCTAGATGTTGCCCAAAGACTGTTGGAAGGGCTTTATGCCAAACGAGAGTGAGAGGAGAGGGACAACTGCCATTTCGGAGCTAGAGGAGAGACTCTAGACCAAGTAGAGAGGCTAGGAGGACAAGGAGAAGTGGCGCTGGCATAGGGAGGGGCTCCGCCATACCCCTCTGGCTGTAGGTGGTAGAGGAAGGATAGAGGGAGTCTCATAGCCCTCCTAGAGGGGAGGACTTCATAGTTTGGTGATAGGAGGAGGTTCACCACAGCCAAGGAGGCCAAGGAGGTGACTTTATGAGAGGGAAGAAGAGAAGGAGCTTGAGGAAGGAAGGGAGACTATCGAAACTACAAGGACTAAAGAGGGAAAGAAAGGAGGAGGCGTGGTGGGAGAAGGGAGCTATCCCACTACTTCAAGGAGAGAAGAGACTGCACCAAGGGTACATGAGACAGATACCACACTTAGAGGTTAGTGATATTAGAGGAGGAAGAGACTTTTCCCCCTTCCTCTTCCTCTTCCTCTTCTTCTTTTTCTTCTTCATTTTCTTGTTCTTCTTGTTCTTCTTTGTCTTCTCCTTCCTTTTCTTTCTTCTTCCTCTAAATCTAATACTTCGTTATGTCTATGCTAGTCTTCTTGGTATGCTCCTTCTATCATCTAGACTAAAAGTAGCTGCTAACTACGCTTCGCTACTTCACAAGTAGGGTCTGCATTCTGGTTTCATTTGGATCGTCAAATCTACTTATGAGTTTTTTGCATTTTCGTTGTTAGTTTTATATTAAGAGTAAGTTACTCTGATTGATAGCGTGGTAGTATAATGTTAGGTTATTAGTCTAAACGAGATTGAGCAAAAAAAAAAAGGGGTTGGTGCTTAAGTAGTATTAAAAGTCTCCCTACAATTTAATTGCATTTTGGGTTCGTTTGCATTCTTATATCTACTTCACAGTTTTCTTCATTTTCGCAGTAAGCTTTGTACTAGGAGTAAGTTACCCCGATTGATTGCACGATAGTCTAAGGTTAGTTAGCTGGTTTAAACGTAATCGAATTGAGGTAAAACTTTAAGGGCTT